TTGTGGCCTCTCGGAGCTCTGTCCCGGAGGACAGTAGTAGCCGTCTGCACACTGGCCACTTGGCTCACTCGAGCCGATCTGATGACAGTAATGACCCGCAGGACACGGCCGACATGACTCCGCTGAGAACCCACCAACAGAGTCTGGAAGGAATGTTATTACACAGAGAAGAAGTGTACATGTTTCAACAAATGTAATTGTCTTGCACAACACACTGTGTCATGACTGAATGATGATGTATAGTAGTGATCTTTCGAACTGTGTTGCAATTTCTAATACATGACCATACAAAGGTTACATTTAATACATTTCCAGCAATTTGCCGCAAGACAAGATTACAAATACTGTACATGATTAAACCTCTTTGTGAACGAAGTGATTCATAAGTGCCCGCAGGAGAGAAAGTTTTCATTTTCTTCTGGATTACTGAGCTGTCAAAGACACACAGCAGCAGTTTACATCCGAATATCGCAAATGGAACTTAGAGGATTCGGTGTAGCATTTCATCTTAGCATTGTGTCTCGTTTCTCATGCATAAATAATTAACGGATTGATGTTGCACTCTGGGATTGCTTGCTTTCTTTGAAAGGAAGAGCAAACAGATGGAATTGCACAATCATACGTGCACAATGAGTCTAAGCAAACTCCAAATTAGAAAACTATTGCTCCTGTGATGCCGCTTGCCTTCAAAGTTCTTAGATTTTAGAAAAAAAACAGTTGACGTACAAAAAGAAAGAAAGGTAAACGTCATAATTCATTTGCTCTGGGCTAAACGTTTGCCAGCAAAAAACCTCTGTTAACCATATAAGCAATGTTTTAAGTAACTGTAACATTTCTATAAACCGCCTACAAATGCAAAGTGATACTGTACTCAAAAATCAATGATAAGGCCAAGACCACGGACCACCTCATTGCCTGAGCTGCACCTATAAATTCTGTCCTTAAAGGTTATGACAATATCTGTCCCTTTCAAAAATTAAAACATGGCCCTTGAGAACATCTACTTGGACCCTTTCTTATGTCATAGTAAGTTCCAGTACTGTTTCCATAGTTATCATTGCACAATTCTTTTTTACTTGACATTTTTCTTAAATTTCAACTGTAGCACTTTTGGAGGTGCAACTGTTTACATCTTACTTTGTATAGTTCCAAGAGGGCAGGCAAGTGGAAAAGTTGTTCCAAGTGGGCAGTAGTGCCCTGCAGGGCAAAGGGAGGCATGAGGGTCTTCAGAACCTCTTGGGCAGTAGTATCCTGCAACACAGGGTCCAACTGGGGCTTCGAGGCCAGTTTGGTTACAGTAAGAGCCCCTTTCACAAGGCTGCGGGTAGGCAGAACCCACGGGACAATAAAAACCTGAAAAATATGGAGAATTATCTTTATCAAGAAGACATGTGAGACTTACCTGTGTCTGTACGTTTAATAGTCCAACTGTCTACAAGATTCCTACGCAGTCCGAGCAATCTAACCACTTTTCTGTGAGAATTTTAAACTGCTCCTCACCTCAGTCAGTTTTATGAGCACTTCACCCCATCATCTCAATTCCTGGAGGGAAAGTCGAGGCTTTCTACCAATATTTTATTTTCGGCAAAACAGAGCCCCATTATTATTCACGGTTTACAAATAAAAGCACGTGGAAGAGAATAGACAGTCGAGTAGACCTAAGGGAAATCTGCCATATCATAGCAATTACAGTATGTGGGTCTACTGTCGTGCGTAGGGAATGAAACATTTCTGTGTGGGTGGGTGTGCATGCGTGTAGTAGTACATGCAGATATTTACTCACCCTTGGGGCATATATCTCCTCTAAATGTGGCACATTTCCCATAATGGGGACTCTTGAGGTGTAGTGGTGAATGGTGTGAATCTGACTGAGTATCCAGTTTGACCCACTTGGAGTATCTCTCTGTAAACAAACATGCCAGCAAGAAAAATGTCTGAGTTGATGTGTTGTCTTCTCTCACAGGCAAGAAACCAAAGGCGAACCAGTCTTGTTCATATGATGAATTGAGCTGTATTTTTCTTTAATCGTCAATGACAGCTCATCATTTTACAATGTGGAAGCTATAGACACAAGACGGTAACAATGGACTTGTTCCATTACAAAGAAGTCAAGCTGAAATGCCATCTCTTTGTGGCACATTCGTCGACTGAAATGCAGCAATCACAGCGGAACCCGACTGTGATTGAAGTCAAATTGCCGCGAGGCGTGCAGTAAAAATCAGAGCACAAAATCGTGCTACAATTGAGTTCAATCCACCATCATTTATGACGGCCCGCGAGACTCCAGCTTCCCTTCTGACAACTAAATTTTGAGGTTTTTGTGGCCTTTTTTGTGCTTATTCAAAACAACGTGACGTTAAGTTGACTGAAATGCATAATGTAAGACTCCAGCATCACCAAAAACAATTATTTATGGTGGTTGATACACTTGAAAATTAAGGACGTTGAAAAATAGGCGTGAGGCTCTTCTGCAACATATTTCAGTTTCCGTTATATCAGATGGGAAAATATTTTGTAAAATTAGACAAATAGTGACCCGGACTTTAAGTTCCATCTCATCACAGCGGTCGAAACTGAAGCAAGTCATAGTTTACCAGTATTGCAGGAGTTGTGGAAACATGACATGTTGTCCATCCAGGACACATTCTCCATCTTTGTGAGGTATATTTCCGAAAGTATTGCATGAAGACAACTGAACTGAAAGGAGTTGGCTCGTGGTGTTGGACTGGCTGCACCTATGGTACAAAAGAATCCCGCAGAACACAAACCTACGACAGGAAGAGGTTATCTTGACACTCATTTAATAACGACCAGAAGAAAACTGAGGCAATTTATAAGCTTGGAACCAGGCTAGCCTGATGCATTGCTCCAAAAGTAGTTACAAACACAAGAGTTAGTGAATGAATGTTGGGACAGCAGGTGCAATCCCCTCACCTGTAGGCTGTGAGGCTGCGGGACCAAGGCAGTATTTCCCAGGTGGGCAGGGGCGGCAGTGAGACATGGAGGAAGCACCTGGCTCAGGAAGGAAGCTGCCAACAAGACAGGGTTTGGGTGAATCACTACCCGGAAGGCAGAAGTGTCCAGGGGGGCAAATATCTCCATGAGGCTGGGAGACAGGAGACGGCTCAGTGGACCCAAGTAAACAAAAATATCCTGTGGTAGAAGAGAAAATGTCCTTAGGCATATCATTATGAGCAAAAATTAGGCATCGGCGGAGGCAAGACCATAGTGCTTGAAAAACGACGGCTGACCAAATGGCACTTTTTGAGGTTTTGTGTTTTTTTTTTATTTAATTCAGATATGTCTTCCAATGACAATGTTGAAAACTATGCAGATTTTTAAAAAACTGCAAGAGTGATGAGGGGGAAAATATCTTCATTTTTAATTAATTTTAATTTTTATTTTTTTAATAAGTTCGACTTGACAGCCATCGTGTAGGCCAGAGCTTCGGCTGGTGTATGGCTAGTTCTGAGCACCTTGTTGCGGCGTGTAAGGACCCGTGATGAGCTGGTTGGATGTATTACAGCCACTGGAGATTTTAAGAGGATATATTTTTGCAATTCAATGTAGTTATGTGAATTTCTTTCAATACATATCGTTTTGCTCGATGCTAAACTTGAAATGGGAGTGATATTAAACATCTCGAGGTCTCTTTTTGCAAGATTTGTTCACTATGCCAACCTGCTGATTTTTATGAAGTGAGCTGAAAACGGATACTAGTTGGTGGAATGATGCTCATCAGCCTTTGACTACTGCCAAGGTGTCCTTGAAGGGGAAAAAAAAACACACCCGACTCCACTCTCGAAGTGCAACATAACCGTTTGGCATCTCTCCTTTCCCGCCTGCTTCAATATGATTTGGTTCGCTGTAAGTGTACAATACAAAATATATACAGCAGAGTGTGACTTAAATTTCCTGAGAGATTACTCCAACAATAATAAAAATAATCACATGAAAATGTTACTTTTATTTTATATTTAATGCAGCGCAAAGACAGTCTGCTGTACACTCATCCATAGATATTCCCTGAATTTTCCCGTGGGGGGGTGAAGTGTCAGACCTGGGCTGCAGGCTCCAGACGGCTCAGTCAGAGCGGTGCTGTTGCAGAAGTTTCCTCGGGGGCAAGAGGTGCAGTCACTGAGGGACGTCATACCGGGTGACGGACCAACAGTGCCCCTCGGACATGGCGATGGCACCGATGCACCCTCCGTGCAGTAAAAACCTGGACGAGATGGTATCATTCCATAAAATGTACTTTGGTTTTCTCCAAAGGGAGAGCGCAGATGGTTTTTGTGATCTGCTCTACCTGGTGGGCAGCTGTTGCATGCAGATTGTCCAGATGATGATTGAAATGTTCCGGGGTCACAGATGGAAGGTTTAGCACTACCATATGGACACGCGTGGCCAGGTGGGCACTGATATCCTGTGGCCAAATCAGATCAAAAAGCTCATCTGGTCTTTTCTTGTTTCTGTAATGTGCTTTGTGATAAGTGGAACAGTCCTCATTCGCTAACACGGGTCCTGTATGTCAACCCCACCCAGTGTGGCACCAAGGAAACAAAGCAATGGAGATGAAAAGGCTATTCTGTATGCGAAATCCTGAGGGAGTCGAGGTGAGGATGCTCTGCGGCAGCCACCGTGTCAGCAATGAGTTGGCGTCTATTACCGGTAATAGTTTCTGGTTCAGTTGTATGCCCAAGTTAGCAAAACACTCTTGGGAAAAAAAGGTCGTGAGAAATCATTTTGAAGAATCGTGGGATGTCAGTGTGAACAACATCAACGGTCCACCTCCAGGCGCTAATGAGAATTCTAATATGAGCCGGCACCAAATTTTACCCCTTCAAAGATAAGCACCTCCTACATAGGTCTGAATGTCATCATTAAGATTCTGTGATAAATGAAGGAAAAGGTTAAGAAAATATACTTTTTGTACCTGTTGGAATTGTAGCCAAAAGTTCAAGCTTGCTTTCATCAGACCAGAACTCATTCCCCAGATGTGTTAAAGAGGTTTTGTTACTGTCTGATGAAAAACAAGGTTGAACCTTTTTGACCAGGCACAGAGCAGTAAACAATGTGGAAGTAATTATAAACACTTTGAAATAGCAGTCAGGGTTAACACAGAACCTTCAGCCATGTTTTAGAAAGCCCAAAAAACTTCCGAAATCAATTCGGAGGTTGCTCCCATTTTTTAGAGCCTGTTATTTGAACAGTGTGTAAACTTGTGATATCCAATGTATGGGTCCGGAGGGGTTTCATCAATTCCAATTCAAGATATAGCCATCAATTGCCATCAGTTGTTAGTATTACACTAAAAACACCTTGGATGAGCAGTTTACAAAGTTGTAGAACAGCAATGCATCACACTTACAGATATTTCTATTAATGCACTGCATTTCTCATTGGATTTACCAAATTGGACACACATTCCACAATGATGCATTTGAGTTTGTAAAGCATCTACGACTCATTTTAAAGGATAATAGGGCAACGACAAAAAAAAAGATTACAGTTGAAAAAGAAAAAAAAATGCACAATGAGTGTGACTGCACATAATCAAAATGTAAAAAAGTGGAGGAACCAGTGGCGTGTACCTGGCTGATTTCCAGACACGGACCCCAATGGGCAGAACCAACCTGGAGGACAGAAGAGCGTGACAGAGGTCTGGGCCCAAGACGGGCAGTAGGACCCCGGGTAGCAGGCTTCACAGTCGTCTTCCGACTCAGCCCCCACCTTCCCTTGGAAAGTGCCTATCAGGCAAATGGTCATGTCCGGGAAGTCACGACATGTACAAATGTACACAACAACATTGCATTACATTGTATGGGTCTGCAAGATGGCCACACTGATTCACTCAATTAAGCAGCCCACCGACCATTATGACGGTTTTATTGGACTGCCATTAGGTTTTACAGCCTGCTTTTAGGATTCTGAATACATTACGGTCTTCGGCTGTAGCTAAGGGGCTTTATGGCACTGTACATCACCTATGGAGCCAATGCAGATAAAAGCAAGCTGTCATCCACAAACCAAAAGTCTATTGTAGAATTGACAAGGGCTGAGAAAAAAAATCATTTGGAAGCAGCTTTTAGATCCCAGGTCAGAATAATTAGATTTATTAGCCACTTAGGTGATGCCGGCTTGGTACCTGGGGGACAAGGACTTGGTTTCATGCTCCCTTCAACACAATAGTGGCCAGCAGGACACACGGCTCCACGGAACTGACCCGGAGTTGATTCATCAGGAATTGCAAATGGAGATAAACCACCTCCTGGACACGAGACAATAAACCTTCGTCAGATGTCTTTATTCATTAGGTTAACTCAAAAAAGTGAAAGCCCCTTGTATGTAATTCCAAGGGGAAACAGCTAAATGAGAGGACATAGTGTAGACTGGTCAATACACCATGAAGATTTCCCTGGTGCATTCAAGACAAAATCAATATCCACTGGTTAAAATATATACATATATCAAAAATAAAAGTGATATGAAAATGTTTAAATGCAATATTTGGATCTGCAATGTAAACATCAAATGCACAGCTCGATTTTGAAGGTTATGTATTTTTGTTTCATGTGTATGCAACCGTATTTCATAATTTGAATTAAGATCCTTTAAAGCAAATTTGTTTCTAAATACTTTGTAGCTCACATGTTTGAACTAAGAACTTGAGCTTCTTTGTTCGCATCAGCAGTCACCCGGTGCCTTTGCATCATCGTTAGGTAGATATGCCAACATGCCGAAAATGTATCCAGAATTTCCTCCAGGATAGTCTGTTGGCGTGTCTGCTTTAGGGCGGCCCGTTGCCGGCCATGAGTGTTCGCACAGAAGAAGGCGAAGGTGTGACAGGAAAAAATAAAATGTTCCTCGATATCTCAGTGGGATACATTCTAGCCATTGGTGGCTTGAAGTGAATCGTCATATTTTTGTGGCTCACACTGAAGTTATGTGTCGCCACAAGAAGGATGCTAGATTAAATTGCATGCATATTTTTCCAGGTCTAATCATGGCATTTGATTGACCACTGGCAGTTTTGCTGGGCATGGTTTCAGCGCATTCAGCATGGGATGAAATATTGCCTAATATTGCTGGCATCCAAGAAGCCGAAAGTAAAATCCGGGCACGTAAAGCACACAGCCAGGATTGTGAACAACACTCTTTTCTATGGTATTTATTTTTTAATTACACAGGGACTTTAAAACTGATTTACAAATTAAGGTACAATTTGAGTCGGAACACCAAATCACATTTACATCAAGCCATAAATATCATTTACGAGTGACTTGTTTTAGAATTAAAAAATAAATGTCGTAATCTGAAAACAACAGAATGGCCTGAGAGTACAGCAGTTGTATTTTAAATGTAAATGGCAATAATGTGTCCGTAAGACGTTGACATCTGTTACCTGTCATATTATAAAAGGGTGTGGGAGTTGTGGACCCCTCCGTACAGTAAAATCCAGGCTTGCAGGGTCCAGATGGGGACGAGAGGCCAACTTGGGCACAGTAATGGCCAGGCAAACAAAGCTGACAATCATCCACAGACGCTGCGCCTTGAGCAAACAACATTTTACATGATCAAATTATTGTGCATGATTGCAGAAAGAGCAGCAGTGACTTGATTCTACTTTGTATTTTGGTTTGGTTCAATTGCAACATGAATGCCCTTATTTTGGAATAATTTAGTTTGTGAAAAAATATGTATTATTTTATTCTTCCTTTTATTGTCAATGGGGTTTTTTTTAGGAGTAACTTCCTTAGTGTGCGTCCAAATATTCCTCTTGGATCTTTGTCCGGATGCTATTAGCCCCGAGTTTGTCATTGAACTAGTGGATCCTAAAATTCTACACACTCCAGTTCAAATGCCAAGTTTTTGGACATGTGTGATTTCAAACCTTTCCCACCATGAATGTTCCCTCCAGTATATATCCTGTACAAATACATTGAGTGCAAACATCATCTTATAACTCGGATGTGGCTGTGTTCATTATTAACCAATCGCATTTGAACCCATGTGAGCAGCACACACCCCTTTTGAAATTGTCATGGATCTGTTTGTGACCAACAGGTGGAACTGACGAGCTCTTCCTGCAGCGGCACACCTGTTGGTCGTTATGTCATTACTAAATTTTTTTTGTTAAAAGGAATCCCTGCCCTACCACTCAGAGTCGGGTCATTGTTTTCTGTTGTTGCTTCTGTGTGTTACTGCCATGGATTTCTGTTTGTTATTTTGGGTTCTTGTTGTTTTCAGGACTTTGTTTCTGTTGGATTTAATTTGCCAGTGTTTGATGAATACATTTTGTCAAGTTCAGCCTGCTCCTCCCACCTGCCTGCTTTTTGGGGTCCTCCACCATCACGCTTGTGGCAAAAAAATGTCTCTGAATAACACCTTATAAATTTCAGCTGTTCCAGTAGGAGCTTCAAGCAGAAGCCTGAACATTTTGTGCAAACAATGAAGGCAATTTAGAACTGCTCAAAATGACCTCCCGATTAAGGTCCAGCTCCATGCCCGAAGCATGATCGTGCCACCACCATGCTTCACTATGTACGGTGTTGTTTGAGTTGATGAGCAGTGTTGTGTTTGTGCCAAACTTGGTTTCATTGAAGACATTTTATCAAATGTGTCTGGGAGATTGATTCATTTTATTATGTTACATATATCCATTATATATACTACATTACCGTATTTTCCACACTAAAAGGCACACTGGATTATGAGGCACACCTTCAAATGAACGGCCTATTTTGTAAATTTTTTTCAAATATTGGACGCACCGCATTATCAGACGCAATCTACAATGCATCCACTAGATGGAGCTATGCTCAAGGAAATACCAAAAGAACGATCAGATGTCAGTTAATTATTTAATAAAGCAGCGACGCAGTTCACTTAACCAACAGCAAGTTACAACATTGACTCGTTACCGTTGAACTCTCTTGCCGCTGCTCTATTTCCGTGTTCAGCCGCGAAACCGATCGCCTTAAATTTGAACTCTGCATTGGAAGCATGTCTCTAGCAGGGAGCCATTTTGGGGTTGACACATTACCGTAATTACTATACACAAGGCGCATCGGATTTTAAGGCGCACTGTGAGCTTTTAAGAAAATGGAAGGCTTTTAGGTGCGCCTTTTAGTGCGGAAAATACGGTACCATGAGTATAAGTTGTTTATAAAATGGACAGATGGATAATTGGTCCCTGTATATGTAAATCTCACTATCACCATAACGATATCAGCCAACTAGGTACTCATAAGTTTTGTATTGTATTCACTGTGGCGATATTTATATATGTTATAGTAATAAACATTGGGGAAAAAAGAAAACTGTTGTCTTCCTTTCAAAACAAGGAGAACTTGCATATTGTACAACAGAAAACATTAGCTGCCATGTGCTCATAAGATCTAATCATTTATAATGGCTTAATAGTGTACAAGAATAGCCTTAGGTGCATGTAGTTCACACTGTTTCACAATGACAAAAAAAAATGCTTATCTAATCACATGTATCAGCTTATTCTCGCAAATATCCCATAAAATAATTGTGTCGAATGGGTCACCTTTTATGGAGCTAAAAGTGCCTGCAGGACATGCAACCATAATGCTGGCACCCTCTGGGCAGTAATACCCCGCAGGGCACCGCCCGCCAGTTGGTCTGTCCTCAGGCTGAGCAGAGACAGACCCGTGGATGCAGAGGTAACTAAAGCAGAGGTGGGGTGATGAGGACAAGAGCAGATGGAGTGGGTGATATGGGAAGTGATGGATGTGAAAGCACAAGAGACATTTAATTACACAGTGTCTCCACACGGTCTTTTTTACAATTTAGACACATTATTAGGGAAGAAACTAATGAGATGTGATTTATACTCAGTGGTTATTAAAGTTATTAACCATGTTGCATTTGTGTATTTCAGGCAGTCTGTCAGGAAAATATTTAAAAAAAAAACTGTACTCAAATAATGACTGTTACAATGGAGTGTACAAAAAAAATGTAATGATGTTAAAAGGTTATATGTACTCATCTCAAGAATACAGCAAAATTCAATACAAAGGCTATTAAAAATGCCACTTTTACTAACGAATAATGCTCCCTTTTGATTGAATCTGTCAGGTGATTATAAAATAATTTAAAGTCCTTGTAAAGTGAAAATAAAGGTCTTCTCAAGTTTACACGAGTGTTGCTCACAGTCATGCAAAATTTGAGTGATTAAAAGAATGGCCAAAAATAAAATGAGGCTTCAAAATATTGAAAAGAATCATATCGTTCTCTCCCCTCTCACTTTCTTGTGGGCAATGAAATACACATCTTTCTTATGCCTACACATTCCTATGCGCTTAAGCTGCAAAAATATATCTGCTTTTGCGTAGACGGTTGGAATATATCCCCCCTGGCGTGCATGCACTCACAGTCAACAACGAGGCATTATCAAATTGCCATGCCAGCCTGAAACAACGCTCATTGCCTCATTCTGTGTGACAGTTGTACACGAATGGTGCTTGGTCTATGTGTGCCTTGCGATTGGCTGGCAACCAGTTCAGGGTGTACCCCGCCTACTGCCCAATGACAGCTGGGATAGGCTCCAGCACACCCGCATCCCTCGTGAGGATAAGCGGATTAAAAAATAGATGGATGGGTGGATGGATGAGAACAGGGTCAGGGTTGGATAAAGGGAGGTTTTCACGGATTTATCTATGCACCTTGCTTTTCCAAACAAATGTGTTAAACCATGATGAGACTAAGTAGAGTGCAAATGTGTGTTCTGTCTTACCCAG